TTATAAAATAGAGAAAAAATACACAAGCGCAAGAAAAGTAATAAAAAAACAAACACATATATTAGAAGCAGAGAAAATATGCTTTAAGAATATTTCATACTTTCTTTATAAAGTTAATCAGGAAAAAAATATCAATCGTTTGGAAAATCGGCAAAACCTTTGGAAAATTACGCTATTTCCAAAAAAGTCATGTTTGTCTTCAAAACGTAAAATCGATTAAATACCGACATTAAGAAATACACTTTTTATATAATTTAGAAGTAGAGAAAATTTCCAAAATGAAGATATATAGTATATATACTTTTATGCTACCATAATATAGATACGGAGATCTTATTTTCGCGAAGTCGTGTTTTAACGCGCCACCGGTCAATTTGACCGATATTGAAGTGAAGGGGTTAATAAGAACAAATCTTAGATTATAATTGCCGGAAAGGGGATAGTGTAACTAAGTCAATATTCCCAGAATGCTTTCTTTTTCTGACCTGTGTAAAGATACTTACGGTTGCTAAATACATCCTCATGTATTGATGTATCCTGCCATGTTGGGTGGTTGCAAATATCCCCTCCAAGTCTTTCTATCAAATGTTTGGTCTGCTGTGGTGACAACCAGCAAAAGACTTCGTTCTCTTTTTTTGGATAAGCCCACGATCTGCAGTACTCGGCTACGTTTTCTTTTTCTGCCCAAATCAGAAATATATCCACAAATTTTGGATCTCTTGCGAACCGAAGAAAACTGCTGTGTTTGAAGAATTCACTAGAAAACATAACTTCAAAACTGTTCTGTTTCAGAATTGGTGTGTATTCATTCAAATTTCCAAGACTGGATTCGTTTGTTATTTTCCAGAACCTGAAAGCTTTATCAACAGCATTATACTTTTTCATCCATTTATCTTCATTCTGATTTAGTTTGTATGATTGACAAAGCAGCAGGCACTTCAGAAGTACTTCACTATCTACAAATGAAGAACACATTCATGTACTTTTCGTTTTATAAAAAAAATCAGGTTCAATTTATCAAGTCCAAAATGAATTGGAAGTATTGTTAGCAAGCTCAAAAATGATACATGTACCCGCATGCTGCATTTTTTTTTTTAAAGTTTACTACGGGCTTTTTGTCCCTGTCAATTTTTGAAAATTCAAAACTGCTTAGTTGTGGTTGACAATATATTGAATTTCAGATGAACCCTTGGTGACTGCATACCAATTAAAAATCATTGGTCGCAAGGAAGGCTCAAATTTTAATTATTTGTTAAAAATGTTCAAACTCACTCAATGGACATAATGAACATTATTCTATCTCAAAGTCCATAAAACAATACAAAACAGGAGCAGAGCAGACACGGACCTCCAGAACATCAGAGGTGGGATCAGGTGCCATGTCGCTTTGACAAGTCCTTGTCATGATCGGGATATAACAGAAAAATCCTTCGTCAACTCAGTGTATAAATAATGGACTAACAATTAGTATGAAAAACTTCAGTCAGCATTTCACTCAATGATAAAATGTATTTGCTGACAAGGTCATTTTATCGACAGTAGAACATACGAAATGATGACTTAAACCAGACTGCTGTTATTCTTGTTTGATCAACCTGCTTGTTAATAATTTATCTACATGTAGTTTTTGAAAGTTTTAATATGTAGAAAGGTCGTTTTTTTTGTTTTTTTTTCTTATGCATGAAGGTCTAACAGAAAAAAAACCCCAAATTATTATTATCATAATATTTCAAAAGTCACAACCACCAAAAACCAAATATATATCAAACAAAATACTATTGTTTAAAGGAGACTTTTCTTGAAATTACCTGTATGTAAGTTGGCCAGTAAAAATCACCAAAATATGTCTATAGTTGAAACAAACCTTTTTTCCTATGAATATCTTGAAACAACCTCTCAACATCTTTAATATCATGGTTTCTATGATCAGTGACACATATCTCACACAAGGGATCCTCACACTCCACACAGAACCTGGATAATGCATTCCTTGGATGTCTTTTGCAGATAACATTTTCATTAGGAAGGTCTGTTATGACACAATTAAAAATAAATACATGTATAGTGAAAAACACTCCTTAAAGTCAAGTCATTCATTAGTTATTTTATGATAATATTTAAAGCAATATGAGCTGAATTTTTGAGAATTTTATTTTGCTGGTAAAATGTGTTATTATGATTAATCTGTATGCAATCTAAACCCTTATGATCAATAAAACCATAGTAAAGGTTTAAAATATTTCAGAAGAAATATTTTTGTACAACTAAATATACAGTATTATATAAGAAATCGTTATTGTACAGGACGAGAATAATGCAATTTTGCTTCAATCAAAGCTTATACAAAGTTCTTCCATTGATTAAATGAACAACAGAAGTTTATAAATGGTCTATTTTTCTGATATTGAAATAGTAAATCAAACCTTTGCAACAAAATTTTCCGATGTCAAACATGCAGCTCATATTGCTTAAAAAAGTTCTAGCAACCATTTTAACAGAATAGATCCATGGGCCTCAATGCTTATCAAAGTAAACGTAATTAGTTCATTATAAAAGATTTTTATTTTAATTGTCTATCTGATATCCAATAAATAACCAATATAAAGTTCTGATGCCAAAACTTACTTAAGGTACACTGTACTTGCATGGTAATTACAGTGGTAAAAACGACCCTGACAATGAATTTTGATATCCATATATCTTTTTAAAAATATTTGATCCCCCTTTGGGGACAATACCAGTAACAATTTTGATACTGGTATCATGCAAACTACATGTATGTTCTAACCCATGGAGGTCCGACGATTGAAGGTTATTGTTCTTTCGTATATCAATGTATATCGTAGAATGATATGGATTAGTAGCATAAGCGTCAGAAACAGAAGTGTATTTAAAGGGGAGGTAGAAGTGGATGACCTGAAATCCAATCCGTCTAGAATTTACAGATTTCTTAAATTTCTATAAAGTTAGAAACAAATTAAGAAAAAAATTGATTTCTCCATTTCTTGTCTTTTCCCCATATTTATTGTTTCTCTTAAATATACTCACACACCACTACAAGATGTCTTGTCTTAAATCGCATTTAATTTGCTTTTATTTTAAGAAACACTTTTTTCTATCAAAGTTGCAATTACCGATATATTTTGATTGGTTTGTGTTGTGGATAACGATTTAGATAGCTCAGTTTGTACATGTACTGTAGTGCACTTGACAAGTGATACAGAGTTTACGGTATCAAAATATGTATATAAATATTTTGAATTCTGCAACGTGTTAAATATCAGCATTGACAAATAGCAAAATTCTCTATATAGCAATCATTGTTCGTGCACCAAGTCCTTTTCTCACAATAGAATTGTTTTTAGCATACATAAGAAAGGATCTACTTCTAAGGATAAGAAAAGATCTACTTCAAGTGAAAAATATAGTAAACAAAAATCTCATAAATAATATCACACCATACATTTCAACGCATGATCCAAGTAATCCGGAGACTCTCAACATGATACGAAATAACCCACAAATCTAAGACAAACCCAAATTCAATAGATGTTTACTCAGTTAAAACGGATTTAAATTCAAATTTAATTTCAAAACCGGAAATCTAATTTACAATTAAAACATGGATGCCATGCAGTCATCCACATGGCACAGTCGTTTGAGCGTCTGCTAATAATTTTTTGCCTGCTTTCAGAAAATGATAACTTTGTTATTTTGAGAAAATAGTTTAGGCCTGTGATGTCATATGCGTATAAAGACAACATTTAAAAGGTGTTAAATAAAATATCGGTAGTCGGCGCGAAAGAATATTTTGACTTTTACAAATAGCATTGTCAATGAAGTTTTCTTTTTTATCAGACTATACGAAAATATATTGCCGTTGAATTTACTTACTTAAAGTATCTATAGTTTGGCGTATTCATGTTTAAACATTTACATGACAAATATATGACGACATGTGCACAAGCACTTTAAATTAGACATAGTAAAAAGTTGTGAAGTTGGCGGTAATGTGGAGCACCTTATTATCAAGCAATATTATATTGAGAGGGGTATGACTACTGTACACAGGGAAAAGAAAAGTTAATGATAAAAAAACCACAAACATAAGACAGGGAAATATGTTTACCTTTAATTGAAGGGCTTTGAAATTGACCTGCCTGGTTATCCGATAGAAGAGAAAAATGAAGACGAACTGAAAAGACAGCAGCAGGACGTCATAGGCCTTCGTGAAGACCGCTATTAAACGATCAGTTAGGTTCATGATCGGGATTGTGAAATTGTCTATTAAAAGAATTGACTATACAATCCTTTGGTAGTACTAGTATTTGATATGTATAACTACATGTAAGTAACTAAAAGAATATCAAATACGGTGCCAAATTTATGCTTTAATGAATTTTTCAGAGGCAAAGTTTCAAGAACAAACACACAAGCACCACGAGCTACGTTTTGACGTCGTCAGTGGTGATCCGACCGACAGCTGATCTGTAAGATTCATTTACTTGGGGAGAAAAATGTTATATATAGAGATATTTTATTGAAATATTTAGGCATTATAAACAAAATGTTGACCATGATTTATGCTAATTTTTAACTTTATAGACTTAGTGAAACAAAAGATATTGAAAATGTTCGCTTTTTTTTGACAAACCCTCTTAGAGTCAATCATTGCGATAAACTAGATCCAATCTTATTTAGTAGATAAACGGCGCCTTTTTCTGTGTTTTTTTTCGGTCATACAGGAGACATCTTGATACACAGAATTAACGTACATCAAAAGCAAATTAGGGAACCAAGATATCTCCCACTTCAGCGAACACATAATAGAAATAATTAAAACTAATTCAATTGTGTTTTTTTTCTTTTACACATTTTTAAGGGACCAAATGAAAGGAATATGAAAATCAAACAAAACTTTTATGACAAGGTTTTAATTTCTTCTTTTCTTTTGGTCCCTTCCATTAAAAACAGAGGCAAAATAGTTACACTACATTTATTTATAATTTACCTGTCAATAAGTCCTTGCGGCAACATCTGTATATGTTGACCGTGTTGTTGCACCGTGATCCAACCCAGAGCAGGTGGGTTTTATTATCATAGCTCACACTCCCTGGTTTGACAACTCCGTGTTGTGTCTGTGTCAATGGCAGGGAATGACCGTCCTGGTCAATCATTTGCACTTTGTTGGAGTATAGATCACACACCAGGATATGTGACAGTGCGTCTACGCAGATTCCTTTTGGTAATAGTTGTGATCCGGACGGTGGTCCTGTGTAGGAGAAGCGATGTCTCCCTCCACAATCTGTCACCACAACAGCATCATGGACTGCGTCAGATACAATGACATCTCCATTGCGGTTCTCTGTGATGTAGAGAGGTCTACTATACAGTATCTGACCTATGTTTTTGTACTGTATGGTCTGGATTTTTTCTCCTCTGGAGTTATACCGGACTACCTTGCATTGTCTATTTGTATAAATATTATACATTGCGACCAGCAGGTCACCAGTGGAGGGGGAGCTGTAGACACACCGTGGTTCCCATGGCATTGCGAACTTAATTAAAATACTTTTTACTTTGTTATCTGCAGACAGCTTGTTGATGTTATAATCCTTGTCTATATAAATTAAATCACCGTCATTGTCCACAGTGTGTACTCCACCATAACTACCTATATCTGTCCGATGATCTAATATTTCACCAGCCGTGTTTGTCAAGATGAGATTGTCACCTCTATCACTGATCCAGACCCGGTTTGATGTCACGTGGGCAATGTGAAGTATACAACTGACACCAGTCACTGTGACAGATTTCTGTAACGCTAATTTATACATCGTTTCCAGCTGTCATTTATATTTTACCCGTCTTTTTTTCCACAGTTTATCTCCATAACAAAGTCATGATGTGATTTTTGCAATCAGAAAGACTTCTCTGTAAATTAGATCATTGTATTACAATTATTCACATCAACAGGTTCATATTTAAAAGTAATATTTCAGATAAACAACTTTTCACTTCATTTAATTAACTTAATACTCAAAAAAATGAGTTAGGTTTCTTAACAATTTGATCAAGAACTTAATCTTGATCTTAAACTTAATCAGTTGATCATAAAGGAATATATTCATCGCTATGTCTGTCTAAACCACCTAAAACGCGGAAATCTGTATCGTTTAGGAAACTCAAAAACATTGCTATTGATAAATTCGGAGAAGATGTCATAACTTCATTATCGAAGTATAGTCGTGATTTATCACCTGATGAACTCGTACAACGATATGAAACAGATATGAGGGCTCTAATTGAGCAACATGCCCCATTACAAACAAAAACCATTGTTGTGAGATCCAAAGCGCGAAAAACGCAAAGCTGATCGCGTTTGGAGACGTACCGAGTTGACTGTGCACCGTGAAATTTTTTGAGAAAAATGTATCGAACACTCAAAATTGTTGTTTCTAAGCAAGCAGTCGTATTATTCAAACAAAATCATTGAATGTGGGTCGGATAGTAGGAGTTTATATTCCCATACAAATAAACTCAGGGATAATACGAATGACACACCTCTTCCGGAATGTATTAGTGACAATATCTTATCAAATAAATTCAGCAAATATTTTGTGTCTAAGATTCAGAACATCAGATCATCTTTGTTGTCATCAAATTCCGTGAATGATCATCATGCCGATGCACTGTCGTCTGATGTGCCGTTTACGGGTGTCTCATTGAATTCATTTGACCCGACGTCTGCTGATGAGATCAGGAAACTCCTATTGTCTATGCCACCAAAATCATGCGCACTAGATGCGGTGCCAACATCGATAGTCCGAAACTGCGCTGAACAATTCGTACCTTTCATCACTGAATTGGTGAATAAATCATTAAGTCTATCTGTCATGCCGAAGGATTTCAAAGTGGCTATTATTAAGTCATTATTGAAGAAACATAACCTAGACACGAACGAATTTAAAAACTATAGACCTGTTTCAAATTTATCATTCCTCCCAAAGGTTTTTGAGAAAGTCGAAAAATTCGCCTAGAACATCACCTAGACTCAAACCATTTGCACGATACTTTACAATCCGCATATCGGTCGTATCACTCAACCGAAACTGCACTGTTGCGTGTTCACAATGACATCGCTACCGCCTTAGACAACAACTCTTACGCTGTACTTGTCATGCTCGATCTGTCGGCCGCGTTCGATGTTATAGACCATCAGAGTCTTTTCCGTCGTCTTGAATACTCATACGGGATATCCGGTTCTGTGCTATCATGGATAAAGTCCTATTTAACTGACAGGAGTCAGAGAGTTTCGATAGGTGCAACCTTATCAAATGCGGAATCGCTTGAAATCGGTGTGCCTCAGGGCTCGGTTCTTGGACCCCAGTTGTACTGTTTGTTTTCGAAACCTATAGGAAATATATGCAAGCGTCATAAAATGCGGTATCACTGCTATGCAGATGATACCCAAATATATCTCGTTATTGAACCAAACGAAAACTTGAATAATGTGGCTTCTTCTCTCAGTGCTTGTCTCGTCGACATAAAATTATGGATGTGCACCAATCTTTTAAAGTTAAATCATGAAAAGACCGAATTGATGTTCTTTTGTCCAAAACATAAAATAAATGCTCTACTGATCAAGTACAGGTTCCTTTATTTTTTTTTCTTTTTTAATGTTTCATTAGTTGTAAATCTATTAAAGTGACTCCCACGCAATGTAATATTTTATGGTCTTTTAGTACACATGAAGTCTTTTAGATATCTTATTTTTATGCATAAATATGTATTAATATGTATATTTTAAAATAATTTGTTCGCCATTTTGTAAGCTTATACATTTTTTAATGTGAAGCGCACTAGAGTGTCATTATTATAATGCGCTATACAAATTATTGTATTGTATGTATTGCATTTTAACAGAAAATATAAAGATTAAGATCAAGGTCATTTAAGTATAATGCTTCATACTTTATGTATAGGAATAAGTCAATAACTCATATCACTTTAAATTGCAGATAAGTCATGTATTGATATGAACACATGTGTTTGATCATTAATGTAACTGTATATGTAATCATTAGATGTGGACATTCACAAGTACAAACGTTTTTTTTTTAATCCTTCCAATGTGTCTTCGATTATGGTCCTTTGAATGTCTTTGCTTATTGAGTGGAGACTGCAATAAAATAACAAAATCACGACATCTATGGTAAACACTATGACAAAAAGGTTTTGATTTCATAACAAACTACATGTACATAGATTATAATGTCATTTCGATAACGAAAATATACTCAGGATCAAATTAAATCACATCAAAATGTCATAATTTCCTGCAAAAAATACATAGTAGAAATGATTACGTGACAATACAAACTGTTTAAACACCGTAGGTCTGTATCAATTGGAGGGATTCCTAAAAAACGAAATGATGATTATTAAAAACTTTCTACATTTTTGAATAATTTTAACTGGTATAAAAAAACTTTTCTTAATTATTTCTTTATTTTTTTTTTATTGTAACTGAATTTAACAATCTTTTCACATCGTGTTCACTAAATGACAGAAAATACAACACATTGCAAGTGGCATATACCGGTAGTGACTTTATTAACATGAAAAACTATTGAGAAATGCTTATAATTAGGATAGATATAATTTACAACTTATTTTATATAGGTAAAGGTCCAATTTTGGCCCTCTAAAAGTCAACATTGTTAAATGACATTCAGAGATGTTTGATTGATATTTATTTTGTAGAAGAGATTATATTAGAAATATTTCCAAATAATATATTTTCCATATTTATATGCACTCAATAGGTGCAAATGACTTGAGAAATAATGCTATTTTTGCTATCTAAACAAAAAAGCCAAAAATATGCACTTTTCTTGATGTTTTTTTCTTATGGGAAACAGAGCGCATTGTAGAACATACGTAATTTTTCTGTCACTATTAGAATTGGATAGATACATCTTTGGTAAAAATATGAAGCTTGTTCTAAGCTGTGTCTATATTTTCAGGAAGAAAGACTGCATGCTTGAAAATAAGCAGTTTTATCCAAAATTTTCTTTTCTTTCAAAAATCTTAACCACTTCAGGTACATAGATATACATATTTCATAGTACCTGTGTGACACAGTGTCATACACAGTACCTGTCTCATGCATAGCACCTGTGTCAAATTCAAACATTGTTGATTCGATATCATCATCACTACATCCGTCTCGCTATCAAATGAATGTTCGCTGTCAGAATCATATTCATAAAAATCAGAGCCAGAATCTGAAGACTCGTTGACAATTCGTGCACCTGAATCTTTTTCTGAGGATCAGGATATACAAAACGTCGCAGGAAGCCATAATGTTTACACAAGGTTACGGAACAGTACAATGATCTCGATGGAGTTTATAATTTTACTAGTATGTAACAAATTACATTCACAGGAAGGGACATTTTTCTTAAAATCACACATAATTTATGCCTAAAACGATTAGATGACAGATTCACAGACATCTGTTCGTAAACTTATCAGTATCTTCCTTCTCTACAAAAGAGTGTAACAGGGGAGATAATGCTTACAAAGACCTAAATAAATTGTGAACGCGTTATTTTTTCCAGGAAAAGCAGGGCAAAAACTTATTTCTAGCTTTTATAACATTCATTACAAAATATATTTATTGTTTATATCTTTAAATATATTAATTAAAATTCATTTACATTACTTAAAAATTAAACTTATTAAATCACCAATTTTTCCGTCATTTGAATTTGAGATAATTCCAATACGATGTTACTTTTATGACCTTAAGGATATCCGATCCTTAGCCAGGAAGGATAACTCCAGAAATTAACATTTAATTCAAATTGCATCAAAATGAAGCTTGAAAACGAAATTTTTTCATGCAACAATTTTCATTTTATTCATCGTTATAAGATACAAGGTATTTGGACGTCGTAGAAAAGTGTTATAAAAGTTGACATTTGTACCTTATAAAAGGAAAAAAATTAATACAGTTCTAGAGAAATAAGATTTTCTTGAATCCAGACTTAGATACCAATGGTTATTAGCATAATGTTTAATAAGAAGTAATATGTGGTGTCTTGCAATGATAGCAAAAGCCTTTTACACTAAGTATCATAGAATATACGACCGAAATAGAAGACAAAAAATACCAAAATAAGTATAAAAACCATGACAATTTCTCTGAATGCCTGGATACCTATCGTTTTTTAACCTAAAGTATATTTGTTGATCACTTTGCAATTAGAAAATGCATTGCTGATATTCCAATTCGCTTTTTCTGTAAAAATGTTGGAGATTTGACAATTTTCTCTATACAATATGATTAACTTTTATCTTTACCTTTAAAGAAATACTAAGGATAAATTAACATAACTTTGTAGATTCAGAGATACTTTTATGAGTATTTTGATTACTTAACTGCTAATTTGATAAACCTGAGGATCGGACTACCTTAAGAGTCCAAAGGTGGATTTTACATATTGTTGGGGTAATATCTTATATTTAAATACATAAAATTCAGAAAAAAGAAGCGTCACTTTCTTAAAATATATCCTTGAATATTGACAAAAAATGAATCATTATCATTTCTTGGCACCATGCAGATTTTTGTGTTCTTCGGCCTCCTATATTCCAGGTGTTTAGTTCAACCTCGTGCTCGAACCAAGTCATATGGAAATCGTCGTTTTGATGTTAGCGCCGCTGCACTCTGGAACAGCCTCCCATCAGTTATGAGACATGAACAAAATCTTAACAGTTTTAAAAAGTGTCTAAAGACTCATCTCTTTAAAATGGCTTT